CAAACTAGTATCTGTTCCCCATTGGTAGATTGTATAGGAAAAGGGACTTTGATCAGCTGTGATGAGGGAAAAGAGTGGAGCGAAGTGGAGGCTTTAGTTTCCCTTCTCTAATCAAGTTGGTGCCTCAAGTTCAGGAAAGCAGAGTTATAACTGCCCTCCTTTCTGTAGATTAATGACAACTTTGCTATTTATTGTTAAAGAAACGTGTGCCCAATGGTGCACACAAATAGCTTTCAAACTAACATTTGAAAAGAATACAAGAGCAAACAACTACATTCCCTATAAGCAAAAAGGAAGCTAATTACATGAAATTAGGTTATCTGACTATACTTAAAGTAGGGGCATTCGCTGTTAAAGTTATCTTTGTAACTGGCAGATTAATTCATAAGTAATCCCAAGATAAGACATTGAAAGAAAGTAAAAATCGCTCAGTTGTGTCTGACTCTTTGCAACCCTATGAACTATACAGTCCATGGAATTTTCCAGGCTGAATACTGGAGTGGGTAGCCTTTCCCTTCTCCAGGGGATCTTCCTAACACAGGGATCAAACCCAGGTCTCCTGCATTGCAGGCAGATTCTTTACCATCTGAGCTACCAGGAAAGTTAAGATATTATGATCAATTAAATCTATAGCCATATCTGGGTGTTTCTCCTTTAACAAAAATGGAAAGAAATTCCTTTTATTTTTTTTAAATGTGTAATTAAATAAATTGATACACATAATGATGCCATGAATAAACTATTGGGTTAGCCAAAAAGTTCATTCAGGTTTTTCTCTAAGATGTTATGGAAAAACCCAAACAAACTTTTTGGCCAACCAAATATAAACAAAATTACCAGTTACTTATCTGATTTATAGTCTGCTAGGCTCAAGTTGATTCTGTTGTCTTTGGATTCCTAACAGTATCTAGTACACTGGCTTACCTATATAGGTGACTATTGAATTAAAGAATGAACATGGACAGCTAACAGATTACAATACATATACTTATTCAGGAGAATATGATTCTTTTTAAATTTTATTTTATTTGAGTATAGTTACCTTACAATGTTGCATTAGTTTCTGATGCACAGCAAAGTGAATCAGCAGCTTTGCATACAGATATAGCCTCTCTTTTGTGGATTTCCTTCCCACTTAGGTCACCACAGAGCCCTGAGTGGAGTTCCCTGTGTCATTAGCTCTCTATTTTATCCGTTGTGCTCCTTTTCAATAGCTTCAGTCATGTCCAACTCTGTGACCCATGGACTGTAGCCTACCAGGCTCCTCCGTCCATGGGATTCTCTAGGCAAGAATACTGGAGCAGGTTGCCATGCCCTCCTCCAGGGGGTCTTTTTCACTCAGGGATCAAACCTGGGTCTTCTGCATTGCAGGCAGATTCTTTACTGTCTGAGCCACCAGGGAATTTGTATAAAATCCCAATCTCCCAATCCACTCACCTCGCCCCTTCCCCCATTGATATCCATACCTTTGTTATCTATGTCTGGTGTCTCTATTTCTGCTTCGCAGATAAGTTCATCTATATCACTTTTTTAGATTCCACATATATGTGTTAATGTACGATACTTGTTTTTCTCTTTCTGATTTCACTCTGTATGACAGTCTCCAGGTCCATCCATGTCTCTGCAAATGGCACAGTTTCATTCCTTTTTATAGCTGAGTAACGACCCAGATAATCACAATGGGGTGATCACTCACCTAGAGCCGGACATCCTGGAATGCCAAGTCAAGTGGGCCTTAGGAAGCATCACTATGAATAAAGCTAGTGGAGGTGATGGAATTACAGTTGAGCTATGTCAAATCCTAAAAGATGATGCTGTGAAAGTGCTGCACTCAATATGCCAGCAAATTTGGAAAACTCAGCAGTGGCCACAGGACTGGAAAAGGTCACTTTTCATTCCAATCCCAAAGAAAGGCAATGCCAAAGAATGCTCAAACTACCTCACAATTGCACTCATCTCACATGCTAACAAAGTAATGCTCAAAATTCTCCAAGCCAGGCTTCAACAGTATATGAACTGTGAACTTCCAGATGTTCAAGCTGGATTTAGAAAAGGCAGAAGAACCACAGATCAAATTGCCTACATCTATCTGTTGGATCATCGAAAAAGTGAGAGAGTTCCAGAAAAACATCTACTTCTGCTTTATTGACTATAGCAAAGCCCTTGACTGTGTGCATTACAACAAACAGTGGGAAATTCTTCAAGAGACGGGAATACCAGACCACCTGACCTGCTTCTTGAGAAATCTGTGTGCAGGTCAAGAGGCAACAGATAGAACTGGACGTGGAACAACAGACTAGTTCCAAATCAGGAAAGGAGTACATTAAGGCTGTATTTTGTCAACTGCTTATTTAACTTGTATGCAGAGTGCATCATGAGAAATGCTGGACTAGATGAAGCACAAGCTGGAATCAAGATTACCAGAAGAAATATCAATAACCTCAGATATGCAGGTGACACCACACTTATGGCAGAAAGCAAAGAACTGAAGAACCTCATGATGAAAGTGAAAGGGGAGAGTGAAAAAGTTGGCTTAAAGCTCAACATTCAGAAAACTAAGATCACGGCATCTGGTGCCATCACTTCATGGCAAACACATGGGGAAACAGTGGAAACTGAAAGACTTTATTTTGGGGGGCTCCAAAAATCAGTGCGGATTGTGACTGCAGCCATGAAATTAAAAGACACTTGCTTCTTGGAAGAAAAGTTATGACAAACCTAGACAGCATATTGAAAAGCAGAGACATTACATTGTCAACAAAGTCCATCTAGTCAAAGCTTTGGTTTTTCCAGTAGTCATATATGGATGTGAGAGTTGGACTGTAAAGAAAGTTCAGCGCTGAAGAATTGATGCTTTTGAACCATGGTGTTGGAGAAGACTCTTGAGTGTCCGTTGGACAGCAAGGAGATCCAACCAATCCATCCTAAAGAAGATCAGTCCTGGGTGTTCATTGGAAGGACTGATGTTGAAGCTGAAACTCCAATACTTTGGCCACCTCATGCGAAGAGCTGACTCATTTGAAAAGACCCTGATGCTGGGGAAGATTGAAGGCAGGAGGAGAAGGGGATGACAGAAGATGAGATGGTTGGATGGCATCACTGACTCAATGAACATGAGTTTGAGCAAGCTCCAGGAGTTGGTGATGGGCAGGGTAGCCTGGCATGCTGCAGTCCATGGGGGTCTCGAAGAGTCAGACATGCCTGAGTGACTGAACTGAACTGAATATTCCATAGTATATATGCACCACATCATCTTTATCCATTCCTATGTTTAATATTCCTATGTTGATAGGCATTTAGGTTGCTTCAATGTCTGACTGTTGTAAATAGAGCTACAACAAACTTTGGGATGCGTGTATGTTTTTGAATTATGGTTTTCTCCAGGTAGATACCCAGGATTGGGATTGCTACATCATATGGTAATTCTATTTTTAGTTTTTAAGGGAGCTTCCATATTGTTCTGTATAGTGGCTGTATAATTTATATGTATATACAATATATATATTTCTTCAGTAGAATGTGGTTCATGGTTAACTGCGACTACCTTTTTGCAAAGGCCAGCTGATTTCTAGCCCTCAGTGGCTAGGCTCAAATTGATAGACTAAATGTTCAAAGAAAACCTTTTAATACAGCACAAGTTATTGTGCCAAATAAAACATTTTAAATGTTTAAAAATCTGTAGCAGAACTGTTGAGAAGTAAAGGATTTCTTCAGAAGCCAGAAATAAAATAATAAGAGCCAACAGAGGTGAACAAGCATTAGTGGCAACTTTTGCCCTACAGGTACATGTGGAGACTTTCTGCTGAGAACGGAGCAGCTGGTGTGATCTGGTCAGCCCTTGGTGTGATCAGCTGGACTTGGGGCAGTCAGAGCTTCCATCTAGATGTGACCTCTTCCAGGACTCTGAGGAGGACAGTTGGACACAGTGGGAAGGACTTGCAGAGGACAAGTCCTGCCATGTCAGCCTGCCCTCACCACTGCCTGGACTTACTGAGTGCAGCCCAACAGAAGCTGTACAACCTGACCTCCACTCCATCAGCCAGCTGCAGAGGGACCATTGTGGATAGCAGTTTAGACTGTAAAGCTACTATAGGAGGTGCCCACGGAGCCCTGTGTGCAAACCACGACACGGCTGCTTAAGAGTTTTGAATCTGGGAAACTAGGCAGAGTCTTGTGGAACACAAAGATCCATAAGGTGCGTCTCACCCATCTTCATTCATAGAGGCATAGAGTTTTTAGACCTTTAGTTTCCCAGGGCTGCCATGACAAATGATAACAGACTGAGTGGCTCAAGACAACAGAATTTTATTCTCTTATAGTCCTAGATCCTAGAAGTCTGAAATCAATTGGCAGGGCCATGTTTCCTCTGAAACTTCCAGGGAAGATGCTTTCCCTGCCTCCTACTAGTTCCTGGTGGCTCCCAGCAACACTTAGCATACTTTGGCTTGTAACTACATCATTTTAATCTCTGCCTCCACAGTCACGTGGGCCCCTCCTCTGTACATCTGTGTCTCTCTGTGTCCACTCTTCTTGTCAGGAAACTAGCCATTGGATTTACTGCCCACCCTCATCCAGTATAACCGCATCTTAATTAGTTATATCTGCTAAGACCCTAGATCCAAATAAGTTACATAATGAGGCTCCTGTGGGCATGGACTTTTGGGGGGGAACACTTATTCAACCCACTAAGGAATTTTTCTTTCTGCAGCAGATGTGCCCTCTTAGAGGCATTATCACTAATATCTTTTCAAAGTGACTGCTATGATAATGCCTGAGCAGTTTACAAATTAGAGGAAAGTTCAGTTGAATTGCATATAGCCATTTCAGGCAAAAAACCCTGATTAAACAGGTTGCAAATCTTTCATTTAGAAATTCTCTATTTAATATCTTAATGTAGTATTATTAAGAGTATACAATTTAATAACCCACATATTCATCAACAAGTGTCCCATGTCGGATCTGCTGCCCAAACCAGGGCCATGAAACAGGTGGCAGGTACCATGAAACTGGAGTTGGCTCAGTATCGTGAGGTTGCTGCTTTTGCCCAGCTTGGTTCTGACCTTGATGCTGCCACTCACCAACTCTTGAGTCGTGGTGTACGTTTGACTGAGCTGCTGAAGCAAGGACAGTATTCTCCCATGGCTTTTGAAGAGCAAGTGGCTGTTATCTATGCGGGTGTCAGGGGGTATCTTGACAAGCTGGAGCCCAGCAAGATCACAAAATTTGAGGATGCTTTCTTGTCTCATGTTATCAGCCAACATCAAGCCCTGTTGGGCAAAATCAGGACCGATGGAAAGATCTCAGAAGAGTCAGATGCAAAGCTGAAAGAGATTGTAACAAACTTCTTGGCTGGATTTGAAGCTTAAACTCCTGTGGATTCACATCAAATGCCAGTTTGGTTTTGTCATTGTTTCTTCTAGTTCCATTTGTAAAAGGATTACTCCAATACTGCAGATGTACAGTAATCACATTAAAATAAAGGTTCCATGTTGCTAAAAAAAAAAAATTGCAGCCAAACAACAGATTAAATACAACAATAAAAATAAATAAAACTCAGCTATAGACAACAACACAAGTTAATCTCAAAGCCATAATGTTGAGCAAAAAAAATGAAGGCCACGGAAGCATACATATACATGTGACTCAGTTTATATTCAATTCAGAAACTCATGAAATTAAGTGACTTATTATTTAAGGATGCATATATATGTGGTAATGTGGTGTAACCACAAAGAAAAGCAAGGAAACTAATAAAACTATTCAGGATAGTGGTTACCTCTGAAAGCCAAGAGGTGATGGGATTAGGAAGGACTCATGGCATAAGGAAATACAGAGGCATTGTTATGTTAGATTCAGAGGCATTGTTATTTTTCAGACTAGGTGAAGGGTACATTGCTGTTCATTTTATTATTTTTACTGTGCATTTACATTATATGCCCTCTTCTATATTTGTATCAGAATGTAAAAGCCAACCTAAAGAAGGCTGTCATCCAGTGAAAGCTTTGTGTTTACTTTTTAATACCCTCCATAGCTGTTTCAACGTAGAGACTGTCTTGATATCGTTTATAAGACTAAAGGATTAATGTAAGTGGAAATAGAGTCATACAAGTATAAGAATATCTTGACTCTGGGATTTAGAGAAGTCCCACCAAATCCAGTTGCCATCTCTTTGAGATACTGAGCAGTGGCTGCTCAACTAGAAATAGGATAAGGAAATTAATGGGAGTGGGGGTTGCACTTCAGAGGGATTAGCCAAAGGTTGTACTTCAGAGGGACTGCACCACTTCTTGTTATTCACTGCACAGGTACAGAACATCTCAAGCTTCATCCTATCAATTGCCCAAGGTGTCCATTGTCTGAAAATGTGAGGCAGGCCAGTCAAAGATAGAGAAAGACCAGTTTTAAGGGAAACTATCCACAGCAACTTTAAAAATAATTCTGGCCAAACTTGCATCCAGTAGATAAATAAGTTCTGGAGACCTAATGTACAGTGTAGTGACACTGTTGTTGTTCTGTCATTCATTTGTGTCTGACTCTTTGCAACCCCATGGATTGCAGCACGCCAGGCTTCCCTGCCCTTCACTAGCTCCCAGAGTTTGCTCAAACTCATGTCCGTTGAGTCAGTGATGCCATCCAACCATCTAATCTTCTGTCATCCCCTTCTCCTCCTGCCTTCTATCTTTCCCAGCATCAGAGTCTTTTCTGATGAGTCAGTTCTTCACATCAGAAGGTCAAAGTATTGGAGCTTCAGCTGCAGCATCAGTCCTTCTAAAGAATATTCAGGATTGATTTTCTTTAGGATTGACCGGCTTGATCTCCTTGCAGTCCAAGGGACTCTCAAGAGTCTTCTCCAACACCACAGTTCAAAAGCATCAGCTTTCTTTATCATCCAACTCTCACATCTGTATATGACTACTGGAAAAACCATAGCTTTGACTAGATGGACCTTTGTCAGCAAAGAATGTCTTCTTAATACACTGTCTATGTTTGTCATAGCTTTTCCTCCAAGGAGCAAGTGTCTTTTAATTTTGTAACTGCAGTCACCATCTACAGTAATTTTGGAGCCAAAGAACATAAAATCTGTCACAGTTTCCATTGTTTCCTCATGTATTTGCTGTGAAATGATGCCATTATCTTAGCTTTTGAATGCTGAGTTTTAAGCCAGCTTTTTCACTCTCCCCTTTCACTTTCATCAAGAGGCTCTTAAGTTCCTCCTCACTTTCTGCCATAATGGTGGTGTCATCTGCATATCTGAGGTTATTGATATTTCTCCTGACAATCTTGATTCCAGTGTGTGCTCCATCCAACCTTGCATTTCTCATGATGTACTCTGCATATAAGTTAAATAAGCAGGATGACAATATACAGCCTTGACATACTCTTCTCCCAATTTGGAACCAGTCCGTTGTTCCATGTCCGGTTCTAACTGTTGCTTCTTGACCTACATACAGATTTCCTAGGAGGCAGGTAAGGTGGTCTTACCATCTTTTTATGAGTTTTCCATAGTTTGTTGTGATCCATACAGTCAAAGGCTTTAGTGTTATAAATGAAGCCAAAGTAGATGTTTTTCTGGAATTCTCTTGCTTTTTCTATGATCCAACGGATGTTGGCAATTTGATCTCCGGTTCCTCTGACTTTTCTAAATCCAGCTTGACATCTGGAACTTCTTGGTTCACATGCTATTGAAGCCTGGCTTGGAGGATTTTGAGCATTATTTTGCTAGCATGTGAAATGAGTGCAATTGTACAGTAGTTTGAACATTCTTTGGCATTGCCTTTCTTTGGGATTGGAATGAAAACTGACCTTTTCCAGTCCTGTGGCCACTGCTGAGTTTTCCAAATTTTCTGGCATGTTGAGAACCGGAAAGGGATCTTAATTATAACCACCACAAACAAAGAAATAATAATTGTGCAACCTGACAGAGTTGCCAATTGATGCTACAGTGGCAGTCATATTACAATATGTAATCTCATATTACAATATATAATCATGTTGTATGTATCAAATCAATGTGGTGTACACCTTAAACTTATACAATGTTATATGTCGAGTATCTTTCAATTAAAGAAACAAAACAAAACTCTAGTGAGACTAGAACAGAGAGTCAGAGTCAAAGGAATCTGTTGCTCCTTCTCTTGGTCTCAGTGGTGAGGGAGGCAGGTGTGGTAGAATTATAAAATAAATAAGGTACATCTCAAAATAATTCATGTTGTCTAACAAAACAGTGAAGATAAACTAAAAACATCTATGCCCCTACTAACAATGCTGTTCCTACAGACTTGCCCCCCCCAACCAGTCTCCATAGCCCTATTATCTGTGTTTATTCATTTCATGCAACTGGTAGCAATTCACAATAGTGCCATGAAAAAAATCTGCTGCCAGAGCGGAGATGTATACTTTCAAACCTTATTTAAAATTAAATCTTCTCATAGCTTGGTTTCTATTCAGCTCAATGTAGTTTCTCTCAGGCCCTGGGCCAGCAATCACACTAATTTGCATGACCACCAGTGTTTAAACAGGTCCCTTAGTTTGCAATGAATGACCTTCTGTGTACTATCAGACTTTTGATGCATAAATTAACTGCCCCTATTTTGTAGGCCTGGGGCAGGGGTGGAGAGAACTGGCTGTAGATACAGAGCTGCATAAGTAAAAGACAAAGGCATGAAAAGCAACCCTACAAAAGGGACAGTAAAACTAGAGAAATGAGGGATACATAACCCCTACTTAGAGCAAGAGCGTGTGCACAAAACCTTTTGATTGAGCTGCTCCATCTAGGCAGCAATATTTTTGTCTGTAGTTGGGCCACCACCATTTCCAGGCTGATACCAGTGTCCTAAACATCAGTCATCATTTATGTGTGCTAATTGAGAAGGAGCCTCAAAGGAAAAAGGGTAGCTGTACTTGAGTAGTTCATAATCTAAGGGGGGAAACATAAGAGACAAACCAAAGGCAGTGTGAGAAGCTTCCAGCCAATCACAGCCTTGGGAATGTAAAGGTTACATTGAGTAATTTTGCTCAGGACCTAGTGAACAGCACAGAGGGCTCCACTCAGCACTCTGTAATGGCCTGTATGGAAGAAGACTCTTTTAAAAAGTGGATATGGGTACATGTGTAACTGATTCCCTTTGCTGAACACCTGAAACTAACACAGTGTTATAAATCAACTATATTCCAGTACAAATTAAAAAAAAAATAAAACAAGCATTTTTAAGGCATTTGCCATCCGTATCTTAAGCAATTTCATCCCCGTGGTCAAGAGCTATAAAATCATTGTTCATTTAACACAGTTAAAGCTCATAGGGGAGGAAACTGGAACATATACACTTGCACAATCTGAATCTGTCTTTATGAATCATAACTACAACAAGGAGTGCTACCAACTCTATGCTGTGTCAATGAGTAGGGAGGACAAGCAGGCATCTTTTCTTCTTTCAGCCTGATCCACACCTGGCGGTACAGCCTGGTAGAGAACAAGGCTTTGGAGTCACACACATTTAGTCTCCTAGGTTCTATGTCTGGCTCTGCAATTTAGCAGCTCTGTAACTTTCAGCACGTGACTTGACCTCCAAACTTCATGTTTCTCATCTGTAAAATGGAGATAATAATAATAAACCTTAGCTATGTGAAATTGCTGATGCCAACCATTTTTTACTAATACAAATGATAGTTTCCCATGGTTTTACCCAATTATATCTACCCCATAGGGATATTTGTGAGAATCAAGTGAGATATTATAACATTATTTGAATTTTCTCTAATCAATAAGATTTTCCTTATTCATTCTACAGTTAATATGGAATTGGGTGGAGAAATGGAATCTACATCTGTGGAGAGCATTTGTATGAGTAAGTAGAGGTTGTCAAATATTTTACATTCTCCTGTCAAATTTTCTATGTGGAGTTCATTTAACTACCACTAAGAGATTCTCCTTGTTGAGTTTTAAGAAATCTAGCCTTATCAACTACTAAGGAGTGGGAGCATTCAGAACTCAGGCTGTCAGAGCAAAATAACTGTAATATTTCCTTCATTAAGCTGACTTAAGTTATTAAAGTCAGCAGTCTTCAAACTGTGGACTCTAAAGACTGAGGGTCTATATGAGGCACTGCCAGAGAGTCCTTAAAAACCACACACAGTGGTCTGTAAGACAGTGAGATTAGAACAGGCTCTGTTTCTCCGACACTAATCAGACTCTACAGTTACAAGTGGGATCAGAAACCAAAAAGAGCAAGAAACGAAAAACAACTATATCTAAGGCACAAGGATCCCACAACTTGAGAGTGTTTAATGGTTAAGCAGTGACTCCACGGGATCCGGTCCTAGCAGTAAATGGAACTTACACCAGACCTACTTTCAAAATATCTGGGGG